AAATTTATCGTAACAAAAGTACTTAATATTTTCTTTCCGTTACATTTAAATGAAATTAAAAACTGTCTCGGAAGAGACTAAGGTTTTGGACGGCAGTCTCTGTCGCGCAGTTGCCAGTACATAACTGTAATTGATATAGTAGTATATCAAAGTACATCGTGACCGTTATTAATATATATGTTAGATATAAAGAAAATATAACTAGAAAAAATTCCACGCGGACCAGGCAGCAGACGGGACTCGAACCCGCACCCTTCGCATCCGGGCGAATGCACCGACCAATCATGCTACCGCGGCCCTCACGGACCGCGTCGAAATTCTTCTAGGCATTCTTAAGCTGCAAGGCAGCGCCATCTCTTCGCATTATAGGTAACCCACAATGTCAAATGAATACTTTTACAAGTATTAAACATTTGAAAGAAGAAATAGCAATTATAGTTATAATTTTTATTATTTTAAAGCATGTAACTGCTTGATGTTTAAATGTAAAGAAAATATAACTAGAAAGCAATCAATCAAGCAGTTACATGCTTTAAAATAATAAAAATTATAAATATGTTAGATGTTAGTTTTATCGCGCTGGTGAACGGACGCCGCCATCGGGCACAGTCCAAGCGCAGGCCACGCGGACCTGCGGTGTTCGGTATTCCTTCACAATTGGTAACCGGTAACGATCCACCAATCTTTTCAGAAGAATTGAAACAATATTGTGAAAATAATAGACAATAAGGCATTCTACTTCGGCACCGTATAGAACCCAAGGCAACGGCAAGGCGGAGAATACTGTAAAAACGATAAAGAAAGTGATAATACTGGCTATATTTGAAAACTAGCGGCCCGCCCTCGCTTCGTTTCGGTGTAGAGCTGAAGTGTAGACTACAGTTTTATTTCTCAGGCTTGTATTGTACACAATAACATTCATCTATGATTCTTCTTATACCTGCATGCAAAGTCTCAGCCCGATCGGTTTAAAATTGACAAAGTTTCATACAAACTTTCATTCCCTATTTTATCCTTTGGGGGTAGAATTGATCAAAATCCTTTCTTAGCGGATGCCTACGTCATAACATCTACCTGCATACCAAATTTCAGCCCGATCCGTCCAGTAGTTTGGGCTGTGCGTTGATAGATCACTATGGCAGTCAGTCACCTTTAAGTTTTATATATATATATATAGATACAGATATCCCATCATCTTTATAGAGATTTTTTATTCCAATATCGCAATTGTACGCACGCAACGACAGGAGTCTCACCCGCGGTCGCACTCTCGTCACCTTCGGGGCCGTCTCTACGCACTACGCCCAGATGTCACAGTCGTAGTGAACGCTGCACAAGTGCAGCAGGTGGCAGCTACTGCCGTCGGACGGCTCCACGCCTCGCTCTTGGCGATGAAGTGCTCCCTCGCGATTACTCAAAAACGGGAAATAAGTGGGCGAAAGGTTACGTTTCAGAAATAGCAGGACCCGTCTCTTGTAACGTTGTTGTCGACGAAACGACGCGATGGCGTAGACATTGCGATCAGATTGTTAAAAATCGTTACTCCCTCTTGCGGGCGAGCACACAGCCATCAATGGAGATAACGAAATGGTCTAACGGTCATAATGTACTGCCCTAAATAGGGGCAGAGGATGGTAGAGAGGACACAGCTCAGGTCGAATCAGAAACAATTTCGGGCACAAATGATAAAGACGAATTTGATAACGCACTGGAAGTTGACGTTCTTTATCACCTGGTGCTTCAGAGCGAGCTAAAAGGGCTCATAGGAGTGACAAGCAAAAAAATGTAATGTCTTTCTGATTTGGTGGTGGTATGTGCAGGGTGTTAATAAATTCAGTTAGCTTCCTACCGGCGTTTCATTACTCAGCAATAACCAGCCATTCACATTTATAGGATGGTAGTCACGACGTGCATAGATTTAAAATTAATAGAGAGAAAACATATAAATATTCATTTATTTTTAGATTATTTATTAATTTATTGAACAAAGCTTCTAGTACTTAAAAATTTGTTAAAAATAAAATTTAAGAGAAATCTACATTTAAATTTGACAAGAATATATCCTTGTCGCACTTTATATAGAATGAAAAGGAGAGGCTGCTGTCGTATTTAGATTTAAGTTTATAAAACCACGCCAGAGTCAGGTCCAATGCTCATGACAATTGGCAAATTGGCAAAGACAATTGACGTCATTGACAATTGACTTATGTGACAATTTGTGACATGTTGTCGCAACACAAATTGTCACATACGTCAATGACACTGACTGAATTTCATTAGAAAGAGAGTTCCGGCTTACCATTCAGTCTCTTTCGGATCAAAATTTTTGAACAGAGAGCATTCCTGTTACCATTGGATATATAACTTCCTTGATTTAGATAGCTAAAATTTTCACATAACGTGAATATATTATCATCGCTACAATTACAGGGACCTGCATGCAAGACACTTGACTGTCGACATTTTTTGTTCGATTTAGTATAAAAACGAATCGAGCTTGGCTGGTATTTCATAAATCACCTTTTTTTTTATACGACTAAACTTCCATACTTACTATTATTACTATTATTATTTTTGCAACATAAATACTTATTTAATTGTGTTAATAATTTAAGGTTAGTGTTTATATATTTTTTTTGGAGGTTCAGTTTGTACTCTGTCCTCCCACAGATTATTCATTCTTTTTTATTTTATTTTTTTACTAAATCTTTGCATTGTCTTAAGGCAAAGATTATAAAATTATATAGCCATTCCATTTTTTTTCTCTTTGATATGTATTTATTGGTATGCTTGTTTCTTTTGGTGTATTATTGTTGTTTTATTTATTATCTGTGTCATCAACCATAGGCCCTGCCAGAATTATCAGCGCTGCAGCAGCCCTGGTGTTGCTGTAGTATCAAGCTGAGGCAGGGACCTAGTTGACCTATTTTGTCTTGTTTTATTTATGTAAATCTGACTGTGTTTAAGGATAATAAATTTCTTTCTATTCTATTCTATTCTATTCATACAGAAATCAGAATGCTTCGTCGTTATAATAAGTTTGATGGACGATATTAAACATTTGCGGTGCTCGTATAAATGGGTCAGGATTAGAATATGAAGTCGATGTTTTTTTTTTATTTTCTCCACACTCTCGCCAAAGTTAATTACTCGGAAACTGAGCGCACCGGGTGGGGGTTATTGCGACCTCTTTGCATAATTTAAAATATACGAAATGTTCTTCTTGGGCTGGATGCATGTTTTTTTTGAAATTAGGCAATTTTGGCAACATGTTTTGTGCTTAAAAATTTTCAATGAACATGCCGCTTTTTCATGTTTAAATGCTTGCTAGAAATAACTTGCATATTTCAAATGACTAACTTCCGAGGATTTTTGCGAGTCTCACACGATTCAATTTTTGGAGTTTACTCCTTAAGAATCGATTTGTATAAGGGGCCCGGTATGAGAAAAATGTGAGGAGTAAAATCTATCGATGAATGACATTAATGACCTCGTTACGTTTTTGTGCGCAACCTCATCTGCGCACCTTTCACTTTTAGCCATGGCAATGTATAAAAAACATTAAGTTGTCAGAAATGTCAATAAAATAAATAAACTAAAAATATATAAAATCGGAGCAAAATTAATGAAAACAAATAAATAACAGAATATAGAGAAATGCCAGTAAGTGTCCAGCACTCTGGAATAGTGATTTTCAGTACAGATGGAATTATAATACATATTTACAAAATGATGACTAGTGTGTGATTTTTTTGAAATTGTGTGTTTCCAGAAATACATAATAAAATATAAGATGAATATCGCTGATGTTAGATGATAAAATGTGTGACATGGAACCTATGATAGTCGAAACCATGGGACGATCCCCAAGGTATCTCTACTTGTAACCGACTTCTTCGAACTTGATTTTGTATTGTGTCTGTTCAAAGACAATCGTTTTTAGAGTGTAAACTCCGGTCGTGCGCCGGAGCTGACACACACAATTTTTTTTCGGGAAGGGAAAAGTGTTCTGTATGATAACTAAATTTCATCTCAATCCATTCAGAAGTTTTACATGATTGAGCACCAAACTTTTCCGTTTACAAATATAAGTAGGATCTTCTCTCACGTGAGAGATAATTTTCACCGACTGTACTCTCGTCTCTTGTTTAATTCCTAACTGATGCATGTCACGCATGAAATAAGTCACTTAATGAATTACGTTACAATTTGGTAGGTACGTGTCATGGACTGAGGTTTGTCCGCCACACTGTTTTACATTACTTTTGCCGAATACTGAGCACCTAATCTTGTTTGAAAAGCGGCATCTGTCTTTAGGTTGTGCAAAGGAATATTTGAATTAATAGTCGTTCTAAACTTTAAACATTCATCATCATCATCAGCCTATTAATGTCCCCACTGCTGGGGCACAGGCCTTCCCTATGGATAGAATAGGGAGATTGGGCCATGACCCACCACGCGGGCCCAGTGTGTATTGGCGGGTGCTAACGACTACAGATGCAGCCGGGACCAACGGCTTAGCGTGCCTTCCAAAGCACGGAGGAACTCGAGATAGTAATTTATTGGTCACCCATCCAATGACCGACCACTGCGAAAGTTGCTTAACTTCAACTATCGCAGCAACCACCCGTGCCATCGAGCTCCTAAATTCCGTTATTGATTATATATTATGTCATGGGAGGTTTGCGTGCAATCCAGCCACTGGTAGCTAGAAAGCCCCTCCTGCTGACCTGAAGCCTGCCAAGGCGCCCATTTTAATTTTAAAATTAAAATGGGCGCCTTAGCAGGCTTCAGCTCCCCACTTGCTTCTTATAATATCTCCAACATGGTCTACCATCATTTCCAATCCCATTTTGATTCTGTATACATTTCGCAGTGATGGATGTGCCGTGGGAGATTCACGTACAGTCCAGCCACGGTATGGCGGGAGGCGCTGCCCTGCTGACCTGCAGCTTGCCGTCGACAGTCAAGAGCCACGTCAGCGTCACCAAGTGGTTCAAGGATGGCGTACCGCTGACACCCCTTGCCGGTGAAACTGGTAAGTAACGAATACGTTTATTGTTACCTATATAATACACTAGCGGCCCGCCCTCGCTTCGCTTCGGTGTAGAGCTGAAGTATAGACTACAGTGTTTGTTCTCAGGCTTGTATTATACACAATGACATACATCTATGATTCTTTTTATACCTGCATGCAAAGTCTCAGCCCGATCGGTTTAAAATTAACAAAATTTCATACAAACTTTCATTCCCTATTTTATCCCCTTGGGGTAGAATTGATCAAAATCCTTTCTTAGCTCATGCCTACGTCATAACATTTACCTGCATGCCAAATTCCAACCCGATCCGTCCAGTGGTTTGGGCTGTGCGTTGATAGATCACTATGACAGTCAGTCACCTGTATGTTTTATATATGTAGATACCTATTCACTTGCAGCACCAAGGGCATACTCATGCCTTCCAGCTCTGAAGGAATTTTTACCTTACCTACCTACCTTTGAGTTTTATATATATAGAAGATTTAAATTTAAATAGATGAGGAAGTGACAAAAATATAACAGCTAAATCAGCCGTAAAATATGAATATGTGAAGCAGAAAGCAGAAGACTGAAACTCCCCTAAATATTTGCACATTTGAAGGCAAAATGGCGATGCTGCGTTTAGTAAATATGAAAAAAGTACTGACCGATTTTAGCCATTACCTATTCGAGCCAAGAGTCAGACAAAAACGAAAACAGGAGAACCAATGGAGACAAGCACAAATCGTATGATACGTGCAGGATAACCCTGAACCTGAACATATGCAGGCATCAAGAGCCACGGTATGTCCCTGAATGATGTAAAGTGTCGCCGCACACGGGCCACCGGCCACAACCACAAAACGCCGCCACCGGCATATTTTCTATAGTTTTCATAAATTTTGTATGGACTCGCCGCACACGGTTAACGCCAGTGGCCACCACACTCTACGTGGCGAGTCCATATAAAATGTATGAAAACTACAGGAAATATGCGGGGACTCTAAGTGTCGCCGCACACGGGCCACACGCCACAGCCACAAACGCCGCCACGAGAAGCTAGAAGCGGCTACTAATGTGGCTGAAGCGCGCGACAGCGGCCGACATGAGAGGTAAGGGAGAGAGGGGTGGGGAATCGCGCGAGTGACGTGTGGCGGCGCTTTGTATCGGCACATTAAGTGGCCGGTGCGGGCCACAAGAAGCGAACAACGACGATTTGTAGCGTGTGGCGGCTACCGGCGTACCGTGTGTGGCAATTCCATATAATATGTATGAAAACTACAGAAAATATGCCGGTGGCGTTGTTTTGTGATTGTGGCCGGTGGCCCGTGTGCGGGGACTCTAAGACACGTTTTGTTAGCCCCTAGCGCCGATAAAGCTGTTGAATACTAAGGTTACTGTCCTTAAGACTTCCATCCTTGGTACACTCCTTCAGACTGCAAAACTATTCGAAAGCTATTGAAAGAGGTGTCATCATCATCATCATCAGCCTATTAATGTTCCCACTGCTGGGACACAGGCCTTCCCTATAGATGGAATAGGGAGATTGGGCCATGACCCACCACGCGGGCCCAGTGCGGATTGGTGGGTGCTAACGACTGCAAATGCAGCTGGAACCAACGTCTGAACGTGCCTTCCGAAGCACGGAGGAGCTCGAGATAGTAATTTTTGGTCACCCATCCAATGACCGACCACTGCGAAAGTTGCTTAACGATCGCAGCCGAACGCGCTAACCACTTGCGCCATCGAGCTCCTCCTCGAAAGAGGTATAAAGGACATGTATTAATTGAATAAATAAAAAATAAAATAAATAATAAATTTGACATTTGGAATGCAACAATTACTCAATTTAAATTTGAATTTTTAGAAAATTTATTAGTATTTTGTATGCTCTTCCAAGGGCGAAACATATGGAACTTTTTGAAGTTATACTTCTTTAGGCGCGTTATTAAAAAATGATGAGAGTGAAATTTTAAGATGCGCGCGCATCACTGTAACACAAAATTTTAACAGCATGAAGTTGGTCGCTTTAGCGGCCAACTTCATGCGTTACTTTTGTGTTTACCGCACATTAAGAAAATCTACCAACAAAATAGAAATAGAATCTCTATTTAGTGGGTGCTAACGACTGCATTGTAAAGGCGTATCAAAAGTATTTATTAATCTGGAACAACGGAACCAAAGCGCGATTCAGGAGACTACAGCGCCATCTCTTGACCATTGGTGTAGTAGAACCAAAAACCACATCTTTATTTTTTGTAATAAAGTAACAGTTATAGGTATTCATATTTATAATATTTATCCACATGTTTCTAGTTTGTATATTCGGAATACGTGTTTGAGTTTCATACAAGTGCAAATCACATATGTTCTAATAAATTATATTCAGTAGCGATTTTAATTGAATATTTTGATTATTTATTTATTTTTTCAAATTAAAACTGAACTTTATTGACTGTGTCCTTTTCCAGACTTTTTATTAATTTATTGTAATTAATTATTTGCATGCAATTAAAAACTAATTTTAAACGATGCCAAAGAAGGATAACTTCTCACGCGCCTACATAAGTACACGCACCAATTTTTATATTATTTACCAGCTGTAACAAACTTTGTTTCATGCAAATAAACTTTCATTTCATTTCATATTGTAGGCTGACAAGGTGGGGTTTGCTAAAGCATACAATTCAGCGATCCTGTCTTTGTAATGTACTTCTAGCGCTATCCTTACATTTGGTAAACATTACTGTACCATAATCATCATATTGTTATTCGCAGCTTTGGCACTTGAACATTCTCTCATTATTTCGATTAATCTTCTCACTAATGTGTATCTGTAATTTCAAACCAAGAATTACGAATTAAATGAAACCTAAAAGTTACGACTGGCTAGGCATAGGCATATTTTTTTTTCTCTAAAATATAATTAAAGCTACCCTTAGCACGAACCAATATCGAATTCGTAACGTTTGCGAGTCCGAAATGTGTACTAATTTTTAGTTCTCGTTACGTACTTTGTGGCACTGCTGTTCAAGTTTCCATACAAAATTTGACATTGACATTTCGCGCTCGCAAACTATTCGAATTCGATAATTGTTCTTGCTAGGGATACTGAAATTTTACAAATGTGTATAGTACAAATATTAAAATAGCAAAAATCGTTAGAAAGCTCAAAGCTGTACGATCTGTTGCTTAGAATTTTTTGATGAGTATATTACTAATACAATACATTCAGGAAATAATTAGCTTATGATTTTATTTATTTTTTTAGCATTTAACTGCTAGATGTTTAAATCTAAAGAAAAGTTTACTAGAAAAAAATCCACGCGGACCAGGCAGCGGACGGGACTCGAACCCGCACCCTCCGCTATCCGGGCGAATGCACTGACCATTATGCTACCACGGCCCTATTCGCCGCGTCGAAATTTTTCTAGCCTTAAGCTGCAAGGCAGCGCCATCTCTTCGCATTGTAGGTAATCCATATATATAATGGTCAGTGCATTCGAGTCCCGTCCGCTGCCTGGTCCGCGTGGATTTTTTCTAGTAAACTTTTCTTTAAATAATTAGCTTTTTGCACTCCTTCTCCGTATAAACTATAAGTATGAAGCTATCTCAAACAGCTCCGTACGAAAAGTATACTTTGAAGGTGTATCTACAAAAATATATTTCCTTCACGTATTAATATAATGGTATCACAACTCAAGCAGCCGATAAAAAAAGTTCGTTCGAAATTTCATCCCAAGTCTAACAGTGCTTTTCATAACTTTATGAATTGAGCGTTTACGGCGTTGTTAAGTAGCGCAATACAATTTTTCGCTCACAAAACGGCTGTCCTCGACAGCAACGGCGGCCGTTCTTTACGACTTCTAATTCCAACGATTAGACGGGAAAAATTCGATTAAGGCTTCCATTTGGAACTTTTCATTTCCCGATAACTTTTATTTTCTGTGCCTTACTAATTAGTCAATTAGGATTGTTTCCGTAAATATTTGTCATTTTCAATTTTTTTTTGTTTATTATTGTTGAGTTTCTTAGGTTTTCACGAACACCACTCATTAAATAAAACAAGTTTCAATGGTATAGATGCACTGATTTATTTATTTACTGACGTTTCGCATCCTTTTCAATTTAGACGACGCATACTGACGTTCCACATCCTTTCCAATTTTTCAATTCACACGACGCATCCTGACGTTTCACATCCTTTTCAATTTTTCAATTCACACGACGTATCCTGACGTTTCACATCCTTTTCAATTTTTCAATTCACACGACGCATCCTGACATTTCACATCCTTTTCAATTTTTCAATTCACTCGACGCATCCTGACGTTTTACATCCTTTTCATTTTTTTTTTCTAAATGGCTTCACACGGTTTGTGCATTTAGCCGATGTCAAGTGTGTTAAAATGTTAACAAATACTATAGTACTCGTGGTCAAAGTAATAAATCAAGTCAAAGTAAGTGGTAGTCAAGTCAATCCCCCTTTCCCTATGTTTCAGTAAAAGTGTGGGGATTTACTGGAACTTCCCCGTGGACTTCTTGAGGGAACGTCGAAAGACACTTTCCGCTATTTTGTTTCACTTGCCAACACTTGTGCATGTTCCCGAATACTTAGTGGTTAATAATCCACCATTATTAGACACTAACATCCGCCACAACACAATTTTTAACAAGAAAATTAAACTGCTAAAGTGACTTTTCCTGATCACACCAAAGCCCATCCTTTTCAATTTTTCAATTCAGATGACGCATCCTTAAAAGGATGCAAAACGTCAATAAATAAATAAGTCAGTGCATCTATTCCGTTGAAACATATTTCATTTTTTTTGTTTATTTATTTATTTATAATCAGGCTACATTGACCTATAGATAAATACCTTATAGTCTAACATATATACAGATATAAAAACACTTAACTAACACGTATAGATGGCGACGTGTGACGTGAAGTGGTGTCAGGTAACCGACCTCGGAAGCGCCGGAACACTACACCACGGTAATAATATCATACAGTATT